CACGAGGACCATGATCAGGTGTAAGCTGTAAACAATACCCAACATTAGAGAAAGTAACAGGGTTTGGTCTAGTGCACGAGGACCATGATCAGGTGTAAGCAGGGTTAATGTTAAAGCACTATTTTTACAGCATGTATTTAGGTCCAGTAACACCCACTCACGTCTTGACAGTAATCCTGTACATCATTTAAATAGTAGTTAAGATCCTGAAAGCAATCGAATATATGTATAAGGTTTAGTTCAGTGACAAACGTAACTTAAAGACCCATTGCCACTTACTGTGATGCACCACGGTCACAGATGAATTTCATGGTCCATGAAATTCAAAGATTCACATATTGAATAATAACGTCATATTAAATCCTTTTCCGACATAGCACTAAGGCACAAAAATGATTCTTTTACATTCTTTTACGGCTTTAGGGAATATTTAAGAGTTTATTCAAAAGGTTAGAATTGTTTTTTCAGTGGAGACACGATTCAAAATGTAAACAAATTGTGATGCGTCACAGTAAGTGGCAATGGATCTTTAAGTACCATAAGTAACGAAACCCTATGTGATTACAGTAAATGTATGGAGATTGACGAATTTGGGATTCTCTCAAGAACCCTTCAATGATATTGACTAAAGCCTCCAATATATGCCTTGATTTTTCTATGAGATATTTGTGAATTTGAGAGAATTTTACTCTATTTTTCAAATCTACATTAACAAATGACTGTGTGTAACACTTACTCAAATGCACTCATGTCGTTCTTAGTGTAAGTATTTCAAGCTATACCACTTAGAATGATCATAAATTGACAAAACAAACTGGCTGTCCAGTTAATTCACACCTTATTGAGCCTTTCCAGCTCCAGCACTACACATGCATATCTTCTTTGAAAGTCTTTATCGATTGGTTCTTGGTATGATTTCTATGGAAAGTAAAATTTAAAGGGAAGTTATTGCAAATCTATCTTTGCAAGTTATTGTTGATCTAATGCAACACAGATATGAATGTTGTAAACTACTTATTCATTATTTGGGTGCATAATTTGATTTTGCACTCATGATATTTTAAAGAATGATTTAGTTAACTTGAGTAATAATTACTATTATAAGATCCTGGCAAGACAGAGTTGATATACATGTTAGTAATAATAACAGTCTGCATTCTTACCATTTTTTCTGCTTGAGTATTCATTTCCTTTAACTTTTCAATGCATTCTTTTTTAACAAGAAGAATTTTGGACAGACGTGTCTGGAATAAAATTAAACATGAAGGTTTTTTCCATATTGTATTCCTTGATTAAAGACAGGACAAAATGAAGGGCAATAGAATGAAAAGAATTATTTTCTTATTTTACAACATATAAAAGGCAATAATGAAAAGGGAAAAAATGAGAGAAAGTCAGTTGGAAAATGAGAAGAAAATGGAAAAACTATAAGGAGGGCAAGAAGGATATGATGGTGCCACATGAAAAAAAAAAACTTCTTACAAAAATTTGTTCTAATTGCATTACAGCACGATGTACAAAAGTATGACAGGCAATAATGTCTCTTTGCATGCTTTTAAGCACAGGCTTTTGTATGTTAAACCGACACACTTTGACACACTTTCTGGCTGGTTTGACTAGGAAAGGAGTGTAAGCTTATTTGCAGGCAAAAAGCTAGTGTATCTTGAAATTATAGTATAGAAGTATAGAAGTTAGCATTCCAAAGACATTACTGTAAATGTTGTCATGCTTTTGCGCAGGTTCTTCTGCATGTCATGCTAGTATACACTTTAGTTTTGATTTAAAAACCAATATTACAATAGCTCTTCTTAAAAACAGCCATACATCCAACAGCCAAACAACAGACTATATTGACAATGCATCATCTAACTTACCACAAGAATTAAGAATCGAATTGGGAAACCCCCAAGTGTCCCTCCTGTGAAGAGGAATGGATAAATGTGTTAAAAATGGTCTGAGTTAAGTCATTATTTACTAACACTTTAATTTGTTATTCACCTTGTCCTTGCTGGTTCAAAGCTTCTTGCAGTTTCAACCTAAAAATAATAAGTGTTATCTTTAACAAACCAATATGAAACTACAGTATGGTACAGTTGGTTGCTCTATAGACGGCAATGCTGTCAGGGATGGTATATATTCACCAGATAGTGGGCCCCATGGAGTGGATAACTTAAATTCAGAAATTTGAAAACATGTTGAATTTGCAAATTATTAATACATATTACTAATAAATTTATACACTATAATTAAAAACAACTGAAGTCACAAGAAAATATTTTGAATATAAAATAGATAAATCTTTTTTCATTTATACATGGTAGGCTTTAAAGCTAGAAGCTTGTGAGGCTGTGTATCCTCCATACACACTCCTATACTACATTCAATATTCTATCAACACAACTCTTGACTCATATGTTGATTTGGAAGGAGGGAGGAAAACCAGAGAAATGGGAGAAAAACCCTCATGTCAAGGGAGAGAACAGCACACCAAACAAACTCAATTCAAATATGGCAACTGCAGGGCTCAAACCAGCAACCCAACCTGTTGGACTCAAGCGGGGAAAGACAACACATTAGCAGCGTACACCACCCATGCCACCCTACTCCTTGCAATCAGCACTACAATAGTTTTAAAAATAATTTATATATGGATTACCTTGCAGGAGAGGCCCCTAAAAGTGGATCATTAATCTGTAGAAAAGAAATTATATATCATTAAAAAAAACAAGTAGTTGAATGTAAACAAATGAATCAATGGCACTGTATCTACCCCTTACCATGCTGGGACTGCCTTGTAGACTGAGACCACTACAAATCAAATTAAACAGTCAAACAGTTAGTTAAATGGCAAAAACAAAAACTTCTGCAGAAAACTTTCTACTCATGCAACCAAATATTGTGTCACGAACAAGTTTCTGAACGAAACTGAGCCATGTGTGAGGCCAAACAAAATAATAAGTGTGTTTCCTGTTGCATGAGAAAAATAATTGGGGTCGGTAGGTTGGATTTATTTTACTGATACAATAGTAAAAATGAGCTTACTGGGAACCCTGTGGTGCATTTGGGAATGAAAAAAATATTAGGGTAGGCAAAAATCGACAAGAAAATTAGGGTTTGTTGCTCAGCAGGAAACACACTTATTTTTTTATTTTTTGTTTGGCCTAACACACTGATTAAACTTATATCACAAACAAGTTTCAACTAAAAGTTTCAAGGTTTAACATGGCCAGTGAACTTGCTCCAATATTAAACCTGTTTGTAGCTTATAATGGCCCTCTCTCAATGTATTGGATGAGCTAGCACAACAATTTTTGAACCTAAGCAACATGTACCTGGGTGGGGTGTATGTAGGAGGGAAGCCTGCCGTTCTTGGTCTTTCCTTCAGTAAGAATGATGACAGTGGCATTGTTTCTAATGTCTCTTCACTCTAAATGATGAAAAAGCAAGACCAATTTATGTATTAATAATAGAATACTAACAAAATAAGAAATAACATAATTTATCATAGACACTACCCAACAGGGTTTACCAAGAAATATCATATTTAAACACACTTAATTAATTTTATGTGCATAATAAAGGAACCATGGATCCATGGATGCTTAGCAGTTGGAATAAATTCAAACTTATCTTCTCGTGATCAAAATCTCTCACTCATTTGCAGCGCTCGCTTGTCAGAGATCAATGTCAACATAAATTCCATATCTCATATGCTCCATCCCATGTATTATTCTCTATCATAATGTAATACAAAAATTCAACAGTGATTACTAGTGCTAGTACTTACTAGTACTTCCGTGTCTGGTATAGAATGTGTTCCCAGTCCTGAAAAGGATATAATGATCACGTAACTTTACATACAATATATAATCCTTGCATTTAATAGTTTATCTTGATAAATACATTATTTGCCTGTTTTCCACAAACAGGCTGCTGTACATGACTTTGTAAAATTGAATATATTATTTAAAATAATATATTATGCTGTTAATTGCTGTTTTATGTTATGTTATTTTTATTTTATTTAGCTTTTACCTCACATCAAATCATAAACAAAAAAATGAAAAATATAAACAAATTACAAGCAGATGAGAGGTAAGGGATATGGCCACATATAAATTATTACATAACTTTTTTATTTTTTATATTATTATTATTATTACATTATTTATTTTATTTTATTCATTATTTATTTTTTATTCTACTTTTTTTAAATTATACTTTCAAACAAAATTACAAATTTAATACTAATGCTACATATAATATAAACACTAAGATTAAGGGCTTTCATTCTTTCCATCAATTACAGCTCCTGGATTTGTTTGTACTTTTTTACATATCAGAATATAACTTTCAATTTTTTCTGGCAATGCTATATTCCATTTTTTCATATTCCATTAACTTCATTTTAAATACTATGACATTTTACATTATTATTTCATTAATTTATTCAACAATATAAGGACCATAGCATGGTACAATGATGATGAGGCACATGCCAGAGGCTTACAGGGCATTAGTAAAAGAAAAGAGAAGAGGATTGAAACAAGTAGTAGTATGTTCCCTTACCAGGTCTATCAAATGTGACACGGTATGAACAGTTTTGAGTGTCAACTGCATCTATTTGACCAGTAAATAGGCCATCTTGTGGAGATCTCAGCCGAGCTGGAAGAAAATAAGTAATGGATTGAATAAGTGGTAAATATAACAACAAAAATAGGTTATCACTTCATGTAAGACTATATGAAATGGCACAATTGAATCATTAATTATTATTGATAATTGATTATAACATCCTGAAAGCCTAATCCAAGCCCTAACCATAACCCAAACTTAAAATATAATTAACCTTAAATCTGTTATGCAATAGTGCCATTTAATGTAGTCTTAGAGTGAAGTCATTAAACCTGTGCAATAGATATTAGACTAATACACTTTAGTAGACCCTAATTCCATTGTTTTCTTTTGTGTCTATTAGACTATTACACGTTGACTAACATTTTGTATTTCAAGGGTTAAATGCATGTACATCAAGTAGTAACTTAAAAGTAATTGATCAGAAATAACTTGAGATTTTATGACAAGTGCTGTGAACATATGTCAGGCTCACAGGATAACAATCATTGTAGGTGCAGTTTTCCCAATAGAATTAACAAAATCTTGTCCTTCAAAACAACTACTTTTTCCCTTTTCAAGATTACTACAAGAATAATAGAAAGATTTGTATTTTCATGTTATAGGTAAAAAATGTAAACAAATGAAAACCAATTTTCCACAATTGGATTCAGATTCTGAGGTATCTTTATAGGTAAATTTGTGAGCTTGTGTGTCTTAGTGTCAGCTGTAACTATAAAGGGAGTTAAAACCATGAATTAGATTACAATGAAATATTTGGTGGGAGAACCAAACAAAATTAATCAGAAAATCTTTATACAGCAATAAACCTTATTGGTTGTAACACAATCCATTTCAGACCAAATTTTGTCTTGGGTGCTTTCCATTAAGTTGAACCGACTAGTCTGAGTGGCGAATTCTCAAATGGTACGAGTCAGTTCTCATTAGTTTTGAGACCTTGGTTAACCAGTTCTATAGAACTGATGCATACCATTTGAGAACGAACTGGGCACTCTTATAATTTTTCAAGACAAAGACACAAGGTACGTAATAGTTAAACATTGCAACACAACACAAGATCTATTGAACAAGGTTTAATGTTAATACCAGTGACTTTGGTTCCAATGACAAATGGGAGTGGTACTTCTTCTGGAAGATCCTTGAACTTACTGAGCTCTGTAACCTACAGTTAAGAGGATAATGCTAAGTTGACTAGTACTATGAACCACCCCATCCCATCCCTCCATGTATTAATGGCATACCTTTTTCTGCTGTAGTAATCTAATCTTTTTGCGCCTTTCTTGAAGAGATTGTATCTCTTCTTGAAAGAATGCTGGAGAACATCTAAACCAAAATACAGAAATATATATTGAGAGTAAATATATGTAAGTAAATAAATCATCCCTGTATGACACTACTATTATCTTGGTAATGACTATTCATTCATCAATCACATAACACATATTTTCACATGATAACACAGCTGCCATATAAATGTGGCTGCCATCTTTATTGTCAGTTATCTAGAGACTGAGTGAAAACAATCTATATCATTTGATGATGATGTTGATACATGATGATGATGATGATGAAGATGGTGATGAGATACATGATGATGATGATGATGATGATAAAAACAGCATTAATTTATACATGATGTACTAAAAATACAAACTGCAGCATAGCTGATGTGATCATGTCTAATGATAATGATTTTAAAATACCTTCTTGGCTTTCCCATTAGTCTCCTTATTTCTCTCCATTCTATTCTTGTCATATTCTTAACCTAAATAATATGGCAACCAGTGAAATATTAAGGAGCACAAAAAACAAAACAGGCCACACAAGATGTTATAAAATAATCCAGATAGTACGTGTGCTGTGATTGCCCGAGGGCCATGTTTGCATTTCCCTGTGCAAACACAGTTGTGATGCGCGTCAACACCGGTGGAAAATTTGAGTTTTGTTTGGAAGTTGTACTTGTACACAACTGACAAGCTGTAGTCATAACTCCAGTAAAATTAGAAGAATATGGCTAACTTTCCAATCTTTGACCTCAAGCAGGTGCAAACACGAGCCTGTGGCTCGTGTTTGCACTGATCTGCTCTAGAATTCTCACAACCACATCTTGGTTTGTATTAGCCTATGCAAACACAGTAAATGTATTTTATTTGTTAATTGATTTGGTCTTTCTGTGGTTTCACACAGGATTATCTCAGAGTAAATCTTACCTTAAGACTTGGGAAAGACTCTTTCAGACAGACACAGAAGTCATTGTCACCCTCAAAAAGAACCCTATACATATACAGAATAATAGACTTTTTAGAGTACGTGGAGGCGGACTTGCAATGGGGGTATAATATATTTCCTATTGAATCAGTTCTCCCCCTCCCCACCTCCCTCCCAGAGCTGTGTTGTTTATGTGTTTTTTGTTGTCCCCCCCCCNCCCCCCCCCCATCAAAGTACTTGAATTCAGTTCTGCTGGCGTGATACACAGTAAAGTGGAAAGTGGACTGGTGTAAAACAATCATGCAGCTGATTGCCTGGTGGAACATAGTAACATTGGATTACTGGAAGTTTCTAGAGTGTTATAGGAACAATTTAATACCTGTCAATACTGGAATAGAACCATTCAAAGTAACACCATTTTGCAGCTTTTGGAAGTTTAAGGAGGTTTTGAAGCTTGGAAAATGCAAGCTGTGAGAAGAATATAAAGGGATGTAACACAGATTAAAAACAATAACAAGTAAAAGATTTCAACTTCATAAGGTTACATACAGCCCCATCAAAATACAAACAGAATGAATTAAAGTGAATACTAGTAATTTCAAGCAAATAACTGCAAGCATCAGCTTTTTTAATGCTCAAAGCATGCAGGAAGTGACGTAAACATGAGAAAATTAACTAAGAGAAGGAATCCCCGCACCCCATCTTATGAGCACCCTTTGATGCTATTTTTAGAATCTTTGATGCTATTTTTAGAATCAGTCATTTAATTGTTTGTTTTTCTGCAAGCACATACTACCCTTGCTTTACCCTGTTTGCTTTATGTTTTCTTGCATTTTTTGAAAAAAATGTGAGCAAACAGCGTAGTCTAGCTCACTCAGTATATGCATACAGAAAACAAATGATGGAAAAATGTGATTCTAGAAATAGTGCTCATCAAACAGTGCCTATGATGATTACAAGCATGAATATCAGAGATAATTCCTTTGCCTTGTTCATTTTCTCTTGACGTAACATAATCACAATTTCAAGAAGTGTGAAGAAACAAGTTTTTTGAGTGCTTCCAACACTTCCTAGTAAGTGCTTTATAACTGAAAATGACACAGAAAAAAGCTGCTTTGTTCAATTTATCATATTGAATGAAAAAAATCTATTTTAATTCTCAGTGATATAAATGAGTTTGCTGCACACGAAGATGCATCAGGTACAGTGCTCTGTTCAGTAATGAAGCACAGTTCTCACCCAATCATAGTGTGAGTACTATCTTAGCTACATAATATATTTTGGAATATAAGAGTTTTAATTTACATACAAACCTTGGCATCTTTTTTGATTTCACCACCATTTGCTCCAAGCTGAAATGAAAAGATCCAGATCCAATTCACTGATCAACGTGGAACTAATGAAATGATTGCATATTGTATACTGAGTAGACAGAGTATATTGGTATGTTATATCTTGTTCATTCTAGAACTTCAACATTTTATCCAAAACATTAGACCATTGAATATCCTCAATTGGAGAAAGCCCAATACAACAATGTACAAGTCTTCAGCCACCCAAATAAACTCTTCAATTGACCAGTTAATGATCCTTGCAATAATAATAGTGCAAATGATGTTGCTAATGAGCAAAAATGTATAATGATATTTAAATCACTTCCTTCAAACTCCGTGCAGTTTATTAGTTTTAACAAGCTCTTTCCAGCTTTCTAATTATTCTTCTATCCTTTGACCTTTGCAATTAAATGATAAAAGCTCATTGGGTGGCCACACACTCTTGACGTTACGCAACTATTTTATGTAATGAATGCTGCTTACCTGAGTAGGAGACCTTGCAAATCTAATGAATAAGTAAATTGAAATGCAATGATCAATAAAAACTTCAAGAAAAAAAGATTTAGATATACAGCCATAGAAAAATATCTTATACTTGATAAGAGAACAATAAGTCATGTACCGTATATGAATTACCTTGGTCTAGTGTTAGAAAGGGTTGAAAATTCCTAAAACAGAAAGGCAAAAATGCTTAGAAAAATATCGACATTTTCATCATTAAAGATGGTATGCACCAAACTAAAAAAATGTTGCTGGATTAAAAAGGTTGAACCATTGAAGCTAACTGTGTTATGGGTAAACAGTTAATAAGGCATACTGAAATTTGACTTTCAAACATGTTTGAGAAATAAATTAGACTTCACAAAATACCAAAACTTAGTGTCCATGCTTGAATTCTTTCATATTGTTTGTTAATACAGCATCTTGGTCTCACAAAAGTATACTTCTAGCAAACATTTTTGCATACTCAGAGAAAACAAACATTTATTTTCTCACTCAAACTCTTCTAAATTTTTAGAAAACATGCTCAAATGCACGCATGCTCAAATGTTTTTCTCTAGTGTCACCGAACAAAGCATTTTGTCACTCTTCATGCATGTGTCTGTGTCTGCATTATTGACAAGAATAAATAAAAATATATATAAGTACAACACCAATGATTCCAGCTATTAATGGACCTTGGAATGACCTATCTCCTATTGCTTATTACCTGTCGCCAATCACCTTCAAACTTTTTGAAATAGCTGTATTTAAGTGATTAAGTTTAGTATAAATACATACATCGTCATCTGCATGTAACAACTCCTCATGGTAATCATCTTCAAGGCTGTCTTCTAACTGACGTCTTTTCTTGGCTCTTGTCTGTCAAATAAAGCATAAAGGTCATGGTTTCAAGGTCATTCATATAATTGAATCTGAAAAGTTGAAAAGTTGAAAAGTTAACTAACAGCTTAAATTATAATTTTCAATATGAAACTCAAAATAGAAGGTACAGCTGCAATAACATTGTCAACAGGTTTGCAAGTTTTTCTGTATTTTTCTGGTAAAAAGTGCAAAAAATGTCGAAAAGTGCGGAAAACAATAAATAGTGCGATTTGGTGGGATTTACGGGAAATAGTGCAAAATCACACCCTCACACTTTTTCAGATGCCCTGTACATATCATTTTAAAATTAGATTCTTAGGATTTTTTTAGGACATTGTTTGATATTAGTAATTTAATATTAGTATTTTTTCTTTAATTTATTGTCAAGCACCACAGAAATGAATTATTATTACAATTATCAAATTATCCAACAAGATAGTTTCTTACCATAGCACCATGTTTTGCTGGGGAATTGAATGGCGAGGACTGAGAGCCAATACCTGAAATATAATAAATTAATAAACCATCATGATGTTGTTTTGAATCTGTTTGTGCTTCATTCAATATATATGTTACTCATTTACAGTATTAGACAACTGACTACTTAGCAGGTGGCTCCCTATATTTTGAATGAAATCATTATATATAAGTTGTGCCAAAATTACATTTTTTTCTTTTGACTTACCCTTTAAACTAACAAGGGCTTCAGCTGAACTCTCTGTAAATAAAAAGTGCATTTAAATCAGAATAAAAAGTAAATCATGGCATGATGACATAGTTATAATAACAGCAATAAAACAAGCCCCCCAAAAGGGTTTTTTATAACTAGAAAATGCAATACCAAACATAGGTAGCTAGTGTTGGCACATTTGAATTTTGAGAAACAAACTATTTGAAAGTTGATTAAAGTAAGTTTGACAATGTAAAGTTTAACTTCCTTATTTTTACCAAGCTTCTGGACATGATATTTTCCATTTCTGGGTATGATGGAATAAATGTAATTGAAATTTGTGTGAGGTATTTGTATATGAATCAGTTAAAAAACACAACAACAAAGCTAACAGAAGAATTTAACGTTAACAATGGTTTGCCATCACATAGTATTCATGAGTATGTTTAGAGAAGAGTCTCAGAGGTTTCCAGACACTCTCTTCCTGATTTTCAACTTTTTTATAATAAATAATAATAATAAATATTTTTATTTACAGAGGGTAAACAATAGACTATAGTTATGATTATATTGTCTTTAGCACAAAACTTTATATAAAACCAAGTACTTAGTGCTTTTTAAGCTCCTCTAAAAATTGATCTGACGATTCTTCTTTCTAAATAACAACAATGATGAATACCATGAAACTATCGTGAAGTCATTGTAGTGCTATAAATGGATGTCACACCATAAACATGCCATAAGTCAATGCTACCAAGGAAAGGTGCATTTTTTATTGGGGGGAGAGGGGTTGGGGGATTTGCATTTTACTTTTAAAAGATGGCTGTAGCCCTCTACCTTTCACTCAGCAAAAAATGCATCATCAAAATACAAAGGTTTGACCCTCCACAAACAAAAGTTTAAATTTTTACTGATGACCTTCCCCTCTGAAGCCCCTCCCCTATGAAGCCCCAGCCCCAACCCCCTCCCCCCAATGTACATGTAACTACTATCTCATATATGAAACCCTCAAAATTTCCTCAGATCCATGCCAATTTTTACTTTCACAAGTACTGCAAACTACTTAGGGAACTGGTTCTATAAAGTCTACAAAGAAATAATCCGTATATATCTTATTCTTGAACGAATTAAGATAAAAATGCACTACATATAACGCTCATATGTAAGCTTACTCATATACAACAACTGTCCAAAAATCAAATCTTTCAGTATTTTATAATTTATGTAGTATACTTTAGTGCATGAAAAATTCAATTGATAAACTTATGTGATTCAAAATCGTATATCATAACAGAACAGCGTTTCAAAATCGGATAATAAGACTTTACCTGTGGGATATTAGTCGCAGAATTGCACTCAAAGTTACGAAGAAGTGAGAAGTAGCGAAACATACAGTATTTAGTTACAAACCTGGTGTGGTTTATTTATCTCTTTGGGAAGCAGAACTTTATCAAAACTCACGAAACCAAGTCAAAAAGTTAAACTGTGAGTTTATTGGGCCTTATCATTCTCATTGTTTTTGAGAACAGAACTCAAAAGTGTTAATTTGGCGAAATTTTTGAGCTCAAATACCTAAAGTTCTCGAGGAGAAAAATACGAGACAGATAAAGGAAGTTCGGCATATGGTAGCTTAAAAACAGCTTTTGCGAACATTCTACACTGAAAATTCGTTCTCTGATAAGTTTTTTACATATCACAGTACCGAAATAAATGTCATTTGTTTTGATACAGGAAAAAAACAAAGGGAAAAACCTGTCTTGTAGCTACTTACCCTCCTCCGCCATTTTGTTCAGACGCGCTCTTTTTCAAAGTCCATCGTGGTGCATCATGGGAGAAAATGATTTGCATTCGCAAGCGATTTTTCTGTTTTTTTCCCTTTATTTTAATTTCTCTCTCTCTTTCTCTTTCTCCTCTCTCTTTCTATCCTTTTTGTGAAGCTTTTTTCATCATATTGATTTGTTTTTATTGTTTATATATATTTGATATGTTACAACATAGTTAGAGCTCCATTAAATGGTTACAACAACAACTGCTTATTTGTACTTGTAATATGCAGTGATAAAAAAATTGATAAAAATAATTGCAAGATAAAAAAGGACAGCTGCTTGAAAAATAGCATAAACAAGTACTGACACACACAAATGCCAAGAATATAAAGATACTAATATCTCATATTTATTTCAAAAATTTATAAAATACATGTATATCACAAAGGTTCACAAAATTTGTAATTTCATTCTTCATAATAAATTCTAAAAATTGAATTTATCATCATATTATTATTCTTTATATCAGAAATATTACTGATTATTTCTTAATCCTCTTCGAAATAATTGTATTATTATCACCGCACATTCAGCAATTTTTGAAAATTTAGGGACTGATAATCATATAGTTTTTGTGATGCATTCTATTCTGTTTTTCCTTTCTCTTCTTCTCTCTTTTTAAGGATCAGCGGAGACTCTTCATAAATGTAGTTAACAGTTAACTAATACTTCATGATTTTGGTTAATATTATAGCCAGCGCTCGTAAAATTATTACAGTTAAATGACATTCGGCCGAAAAATTAGTAGCACGGATATGATTGGAAAGCCCCAATTGCATCAGCCCAAAGGTTGTTTCAGGGTTCCATAAAAGTGAATATATTCGTATAATACAAAACATTGACGCTATCCAACAAACTCTGTTGACCAAATACCACAACATTGCCAACAACGGTTGTAGTAATATATAAATTTAGGCACTGCCTAAAAGCAGAGCACCCAATTATAGTACAGGGAGCACAATTTAGATAAAACTGAAAGATGAAAATATAATCCGTTTAGAAGATAGAATCAATCTAGTCAATATAAATACTATACCTAAAGATCAATAAGACTGTATCAATTCTATGGAATAAATTAGTGTCTTGATAGCTCAACGGCTATTCAAAGCCAGCATGCCGTCTTATACCGAGTTACTCACCTCCTACTTTTCTTATAGTGCGTTCGCTCTTCTTTCTCTGTAAGATCTTCTTGTCTCTTACAAACAAGAGCTGACAAAATGTAGGTAATGCTTAATGTGAACTAGGTCCTGATTTCATGAGAGCAGTAAAAGGAAATATTCGCCTAACTGACCGTCAACCTTCAGTTCGAATGAAATATCTCAATCATTCAGCCAAAAACCGAAAACAAAAGTAATTTCCAAATTTAGTTGCAAGACATACATATCTTCCTTCTAGTACTTGATCAATGTTATGGCAGCCATGAGATAATCAAAATTGCTGCAGGATTTTGGTCAATAGGCAACGCGTCTTAAGTCTCTAATACATGTGCTTGTAACCTCTAAGTTAGAAAATTGCAACGCGATTTTGTACGGTCTCCCGAAAAATCAGATCCAGCGATTGCAGTATGTATTAAATTCTGCCGCTAGGTTAATTAAATTGTCTGGGAAGCATGGATAGACAGACAGACAGACAGACAGACAGCTAGCTAGCTAGATAGATAGATAGATTTATTAAACACCTCACTTGCAGCTGAAAAACTGAATTGCTAAGATTTACAATGATCTATAATAATAAAAACAATAGAAATAATAGAAACTATTTCAATAATGATTAATTATAATAGCAAATCTAAATTAAAGATTAAAAAGTGATTTGCTCCTCAAACGCGCCCATACTCCGAAAAGCCCAGAGAAAACTAACAGCAAACTTCTCTTCAAGCCTGCCGGGACGTGCGTCTGAGAAACCCTACACCTCACCAACATCCTTCGGCAAATAATTGTTAACAGGAGAATATGAAGTACTTCTATTCCGGCTCTTGTTGTTTTATATAATGAACAAATTACAGAAATAGAATTAGTAAAAATGATATTTATTAATTATTTGAAATGATAGACAAAATTGGCAAAGTCACAAAATTAAGTTCAAAAGCATATAGTATTCTATTCTCTAAAATACTGAGAAACACAGCGGTTGCACCCACTGAGGTTCGATAGAGTTGGAATCCAAGAGATGAATTTTTGCTGAGTAAGCCGAAAAGCGAAGAATCCGGAGCAAAACCTCAAAGTATTTTTCGCGTATTAATTCATTCACTCATTTAAAACAGAAACAAACCCTAACCATTGATCGTTATCGATATTCTTGTGATAGATGTGTTGATCATCACAGTGAATGAGCGATCTAAGCGAACGCTGTAAAGAAAGACTTGAAAAAAATGATTTCAAGCTTCAACGGGAATGTGATGATCAAGACATCTATCATTATTTCACCACAGTTCTACCCATTCAATATTCACAAATAAAATAGTGTTTGACAGAAAAAATAATTCCATCGAGTCAAGTCGAGTGGGCACGAAGTATGCAGCAAAATACAAATCAACGTTTTCATTATCTTTCAAGCTCAAAATCATCGTTTGAATATCTGGTGGACAGCGTAATTATTTTTCAGTGTCAGCCGGTTTTTTGTGAGTGGACAACGATCAACTGTGTAGTTTAATGGAAGCGTGCTAGTACTTTCTTGTTTAAACAAAAGAATCCTATGAGAATGCGTTTATTATTTATGTAGAATAACGAAGGGCGAGATTATTTTCTTCTCAATCTAATAGACCTATCCCGAATTCGCTTGACTGACCGCAAAACAATGGTTTCAAGTCGAGGTCGGAATTGATGAATAAAAGAATCAAGTTCAGTCTCGACTTCAAACCATTGTTTCGTGGTCATCCAAGCGAATTCGGGAGAGATCTATTTTCCTATATGAGTTCAGGGTTCTTAACTGATGGGGGAGGGAAGAAGGATTTGTGCATTGCTGAATAACATAATTAGCCCAAGCTCTGCAAGCCCAAGCAAGGTATTCCTGGTTTTTTGTTTGTTTGTTTTTTTTGTTTGTTTGTTTGTTTTGTTTTGTTTTTGGTCCTTGTGTTTTTGTTTGTCTTGTTTTGTTTTGTTTTGTTTTTGTTTTGTTTTGTTTTTTGTTTTTTTTGTTTTTTTGTTTAGCAAGAAAACACATGCAAAACTTGGTAGTCTATACTGAACTACATCAAATATCTTAGATATTCTTATACAAATCCTCACATTCGATTAATTTACTGAACAAGATACAAGTTAAACGGGTGATGCTATAACTGAAAACATTGAACGGATAAATTCTCACTTTGTTTTAATGCTTCAACTTCCCCAATTTGATTCTATCCGCCGCTGATATAAGAAGCTATTTTTCCACCATTTCCCGCCTATTATGAGTTTCCTGTGGTATTGCTGAGGTACTCTAAAACAATCACTCCTGTTCCTCTTTATAAGATTTCTGGACCGCCCCGAGCAGTCTAGTATACATCCATGTAGATATCTTTACCATGGTTAAAACACATACACTCATAGCAAGCAGCCAAGTTTCCCAGACACTGAAGCCTCGTACTCGAGACGTATTTCGCAGGGCTTTCCTTGATCTTGGACAGCAATAACCAGACGTTGCCACGCTGCCGTCCATGCACCATCAAGTTCACTTGTGGCATAAAATAGTGACTCAAGTGGTTGCTTTTCATGTTGTCCAGCAGGGTATCAACAAGCTTCACGAAGCAATCCTCGATTCGTTCCTCGCACCAGAAGCCAAGGGGGTTCAACTCTAAGGCCCAAAAGAGAGTGGTCTTGAGGTGATACGAGCAGAGTGAGCCAGCACCAGGTTTCTGATGTTGTTTTATTGTCGCCTTTAGCGCCAAAAAGCATGCGCGCGCAACAGGAGGAATGTGTCTTGACAACAAAACCTCGGCCATAGAGAAAGACAACCTCCATTCATATTGAAGAAGGGACTGATTCTCATTCTGCTGGTTCTTTTTCTACTTCTTTTTCTTCTTGTAAAGGATCGGGTGTGAAAGCTTTGGAACCACGTGATATCCTTTCCTCATGATTTCTTTGATCACCGCTTTTGGTGGCCAAGATCCGCTCTCGTGTAAAGGCCATGTGCGGGCTTCCCGTGGCCATCCAATGCATTTTATCGCGAAGATAAAATCACCATAGAATAGAGTTTGACGGCAGCACTTTATGCCTATTGGCCAAATCATTGAACAACCCTGCCTGGACTCTACTGTTATGGTAACGGCCGGGCCCTGAGATTTGACATCGAAGTTAACGCCTGTGTCTGCGATCTTTTTACAGAAATCAAAATATCCTGTCTCTTTCCGCTTGATTCGTTTCATCCCTTTCGCGAATACCTTTGGTACCTAAAGAGTGGATCAATTTTAATAAATATTATTTAACAATTATACGCCAAAGTTTAATATCGGGAATATTTACCGCCGAGCCGCGCGTCTACGGAGTACGAGATGCACACCGAGTACGAGACAAGTGTACAGCATGAGGACGCGTTTTGAGTGCTCGAGTTTGACTAATTTGCATACGAACTTGCATGCGCAGACGTCTTTTCACTCGTGTTACTGTCGGTAATAACAGACGACCTTGATATCTTAACCATACAGCCTGCGTACAGTTATAGAAAATATGTTCTATTTACCTCGAAAGAGGAAAGATATACTCCGTTTGACCCGTCAGGAGAAGTATACTCAATACAAAGATCCCTCCAAAACTTATCCCTCGATTCCTGATAAGTTTTGTTCAGCTTCAACCACACAAACCCAGGTGTGATGTTTTGCCAGCTTACGACGTTGAAGAGCGTACGGCCCGTCTCAGATTTTTCAGTCGCTGATGCCAGGATTGTTTGGGGGGCTAACATCACATCAAAGTCAGTACTTAGTAACGATTTTATTGGAAGATGCTCGTCGTTGCTGAGTATGATTGGCTTTCCAAGTCGTTCCTGTGAATAATTAATGTAGTAATCAATAGACGTCATTTCCGGTCTATGTTTTAAAGGACTGACTCCAATCTCGTACCCAGAGCCCTTGATTCTTACTGCGCATGCTCGACGAAATAATTGGGCTCTGGAAAACTCCAAACCAGAAGACCCAGATTTTGGGTTTCTCGCACATGCGCATTATGACAAACTAGGTAAATTCAAAATGGCGGGCGATGTTCAACGAGCATGTGAATTTGCGCCTGGAAAATTAGGTTTTGAAGATGGTTTTCAGTTAAATTAACTCCGAAAATATCTATTGGATGGACATCAATACAATTTCCATTACAAAACCGGCAAAACTTTGAAAAATCCGGCCCTACAGGCTTTTTTGGTGTACTTAATTCGAGACGCCATCTTGTTTATTTTCC